AAAAAAAAAAAAAAAAAAAAATGCATTGAAGGACAGAAAAAGTGAAAAGTATGCTCAGAAAACATAGACGTTACATTTGTATATTTTTACCTATGTTTTAAATACACTTCACACTTCAGGAGCCAACATCAAAAGTTGACATCACATTGGGCATGATCAATAATGTAATGTAGGTAAGTGCAAATACACCTTTAGTCAAGTTTTGAGAGCTGTGGGAAGTTGTGGCAATGTGACAATCTCCACCACGCTGGGCAAAACCAATCTTAGATGGAACAATGAAAGGGATGAAAAGGTAGAAACTTAAGAAAACAAAAGTTAAAAACACACATAAAGGAATTTGTCTACGCAATTAAGAGTCATGGCTAAAAACCAAAATTATTTATATGTTTAAACAGACTGCAGACGTGAAAAATCTGTAATGCAAGATACATTTTTAGTAACATCAAGCTGTACATTCCTCACACATTCTTCATCATGTGTTTGAATGATGTATGAAGGAACATTTAATCACACTAAGGGATGGTTCAAACCTAACATGGTACACTCTGCTCAGATAATTCAGTTTACCACTTCTGAGTAAACAACAATGAAACAGAAAGGAGAAAAAAAAAAAAGCATAAGTGCATTACCTCCATTAGATTATCTATCAATATAACCAGTTAATATCACAGTTACTTTACAATTTAATATATTTACACAGACATATTTGCAACATTACGTTTTGTGATCTTCATTTTCAGTGTTCTCCTTTTAAGTACACTTGAATATAAATGAAATTCAGATTTTTCATCAGCCACACAATCCTTCCACTCATGTGACAAACAACAACGGAGACGAGTACGATGACAGAATTCAGTTTTTGCAATTTCAGCGTACTCACACATTTCATTTTGTGCCAAATGTATATGCAGTGAGGCACTCTTATTGCTGTCTGTTAAAGAAAACTACACTCGCAACACACAACGACTATAATAACCCACATCAAGATTAAAGCTATGATCAATACGTTTGAAGGAAACCAGGAAGACAAAAACACTTTTCCCTTCAATTCACTATTCATCAAGCCAGTATAAATCTGCACAGCTTACATTAATCTCAACTGTTCATTTGTTGAGACTCAGCATTCATTTTGAAAGCAAAGTTTAAACGGTTAATCTAAGCATTAGTGAGAGCACAAACTTTAGTATGAAAATAAGTGTAGTGTGAGTGTGTGAGAATCAAAATAGATTTTATCTTACACATAAGGATTAGAGTCAATCTCAAACTCAAGGTGATTCAATTTGACAAGGCTTTTACTCTGAGTAATGTGGTCAACAACTAAACTATTTTAAAAGTAACTTAGCATTCTGTTTTGGGTTTAGCATGCCCCCTTCACAAATTGTAAAACCGCCCATGTTAAATGTAAGGGGGAACGAGATGTTGCGTCGCAGTTTAAGGGAGATTTTCTTTGACAGGCTTTTGGGGATCTACATAATAGGACATTCTCTGTAAAAAAGTTAAACAACTTCTGGTGGAATGAACACTATATAATAGGAACAAGATAAATGTATAGGATAACGAAGGGACTGTACTTATAAGATTTAAAATAAATTGTCGAAGTAGAAAGATGACAACAAGACAAGGTCCTATATGTTTTTCCCCATTGTGCCATTGGTATTTTTATGCTTCATATTTTCATTGGTACTTAACATAGTTTTCATTAAGGTTCACATTGTTCACCACATTGAACAAAGAAAATATATTCTATTAAGGTTAATGTGCTACTCACAGAAAGGTAGTTATTCTTCCTAAATAAAAAATAGATAGAAAAAAACTTTAATTTGTATTCTTGTGTAGTGAAAAAAGGTTTTAAAAAATCATATATATGTAATGACCCACTACTGTTATTAAGATAACAAAACCAGCCTTAACCGAGCCGAGTGGCTTTATCACAACAAACTACTTTCACATTTCTTCACCATGTGTTTTAGAGTGGGTTTGAGGGATATCAGGATAAAGGAAATCACAAACAAGTGTTGAAACTGACTAGTTGAGGGCAACAAAAAGGCTAATGTGTCAGGTCGTTTCACTTTTTGGAATTAGGTATCATTGCAAATGAATATAAATTGAAAGGCTAACTGTGCATCATGTCTTGGTGTTTGTGAGACTTCTCTTTTTAACAACATTTCTCACTTTGGCCTGTGCCACTCAAGCCCATGCATCGATGCATTTGATTTGGGCTGAAACTGCTATGCTCAATATTCACTGTGTGAACTAATAAAACATTGGGTATGAATACACTTGACTCAAGATGGTGCTGTGCTGGGGAAGTAGCAATAAATTAATTGCAATAGTAGTCAGAATAAGGAGTGTAGAACATTAACAAGCACATGAATAACATACTAGGGAGTAGCTCTTTCTTCCTGAGCAAACCTTGTATCGATCTCATCTGGATGATTTATGCCTTTGAAGAAAAGGCTTTTTAAAGAAAATGCACAATATCACGAACCAGAATAACCTGCTTCCAAAAGCAACTCAAAGGCTGTACCAAAGAACCATGGACTGAGAACAATCACCAGACCAACCAAGATAAACATTGTGTGTTAGAGAGGCAGTGAGGGGAATCTGAACACTAATCATCTGCAATGTGACAACAATGCCACAAAGTGCATTGTATCTACGTTGAGGGGGAAGATGCTCTTAACCCTGAGCAAATCACTTCTGGAAAAGGTGATCAGTTGAAGCTACAGACATTGAAGATTGGATAATGTCAGGCTTGATTCTCCTGATGCTGAAGGTTGGTTCTCCATAGAGGAAGACCGGCCGGGTCAGAAGATCTCGGGGCACATGTCCCAGCTGCCTTGTTCCTTGGCCTCCCAGTAACCGCCCTTGTAGACATGCAGGGTCTCTCCGGAGGCGGGGTCGTCAAACTTATCAAACCACATGGCTTGGTAGTTGTCTGGATGGGCGCCTTAAAAGGAAAGGAAAACAAACATTTAAAAAAGAAGCTTTAAAAAGGAACCTGAGGGGAGGGTGAAGAAGCCACTGAGCCATGACAAAACATCATGCTTAAATCAAGCCGACATGCTCTCAGATAGCTGATGAAGAGATATTTAATGTTTCAATTTCACCTGGCCTTCCGCAGTGTTCATTTCTTAAACAAAAACTATGACCGAAATGTTTTCCATGACTAAAACAAGTAGTTGACAAGATGGCGCAGGTGTCATTAAACACTAAATGTAACTGTCTCACCATACAATACTGTTGACGAAAAAGACAATGTAGTTGGGTTAAAAGAGCCGTTTTATTATTTTCTACAATGAAGCAGTGCCCTTTCATATGGTGTTTGCACACTATCATGATGACTAATCAGCATCCCAAAATGAGCAGTCAGGAGGACTCATAGTAACTTACCAACGTTTAAGTAAAAGATGACAACAACAGAACTTGGCTATATTTCCGCTATAAGATTGACTTTTATTAATCCCAGTGGGGAAATTGTTTCTCTGCATTTGACCTATCCTAGTGTTAGGAGCAGTGGGCTGCCATTTTGAACGGCGCCCGGCGAGCAGTGTAGGGAACAGTGCCTTGCTCAGGGACACCTCGGTAGCACTTCCAGTTGCCAAGCCAAGTCCCTATCGACTTCGCCACCACCACCCTATACAACGTGAACTGA